GGACTGGGGCCACAACCGAGCCTTTTGAATCTGATGCCAGCAGAAGTGTTGCTTTTCTAGCCAGTTGGGTATGCATGGTATTAGCAAGGAGAGCCACCTCTGTCACTGAAAGTATATGAACCAGATTATTGTAGGAACTTTGCAGGATGCTACATTTAACCTATTTAAATTAGCATAGTTAGTTTACTTAAATAAACCACCTATACTATTTTTTTTCTTTCATAAAGTGAGTGGCTGGATTTTCTCTGCATATTGTGGCTCACTTATTTGCTACTGTATTGCTAGGTAGTTGAATAAGAATTGATAGTGCCTCCCTGTAAGAAACAAATAATCAATATTAACATACAGTGGTATCTTCAGACTGCTTTGAATTATCAACTGACTTAGAAGTAAATGATTATTTAAGTGAATATATTACTTCAGGAAACAAGTTGGTCTGATCTTCTTGGAGCTAAAGTCCACTACTGTATTTATCCATAGAACATGTAAAGCATGGGCAGAAACAGGGCTCTAGCCTTGTGCATCTACTCCGTAAAGGAAAACCATCTCAGAGACTGAGGAGGCAGTTCATTTTCCCATCTATTTAACCCTTAGCCTCTCTGCAGAGACTACCAACAAGGGTGGCAAATCTGGTGGTGTTCTGTGACAGTGACACTTATCTGCTAAGGATTGGACTGAGACTATTAACTTATTTTACATTGGCCATAAGGATACTGAAAGAAAGAGGCCGCCCGATCATTGGCGTTTCAGATCACACACTGAATTTCCTAGACTGAAAGTTTAAAAACAAAAAAACATCTCATTTTGAGTTAATCTGGATGTCTCAGGTCCTTTCTACAGGCAACTTTTTCACAGGACAGTCACATTTAAAGCGGCTGTCTCCAAACCTGGAAGATCCTGAACAGGATCTCTGAATACATTTAAATGAAAACCCTTCTGGATGTGGAAAAATTGGAAAACATCCAGCGGAGGGCAACAAAAATGATTAGGGGACTGGAACACATGACTTATGAGGAGAGGCTGAGGGAACTGGGATTGTTTAGTCTGTGGAAGAGAAGAATGAGGGGGGATTTGATAGCTGCTTTCAAGTACCTGAAAGGGGGTTCCAAAGAGGATGGATCTAGACTGTTCTCAGTGATAGCTGATGACAGAACAAGGAGTAATGGTCTCAAGTTGCAGTGGGGGAGGTTTAGGTTGGATATTAGGAAAAACTTTTTCACTAGGGTGGTGAAACACTGGAATGCATTACTTAGGGAGGTGGTGGAATCTCCTTCCTTTGAAGTTTTTAAGGCTAGGCTTGACAAAGCCCTGGCTGGGATGATTTAGTTGGGGACTGGTCCTGCTTTGAGCAGGGGGTTGGACTAGATGACCTCCTGAGGTCCCTTCCAACCCTGATATTCTATGATTCTATGATTCTATGATTCTACAGTGTATATCCTTAAATGTATATATTTGTACCCTTGGTTCAAAACATTGACACTTTATATTTTCAAGGAAGATGGACCCAAGTGTATAATTTTCCTAAAGTGTTCTACATTGAAGTTTCTTGCCATATAAAAGCAGACAACCCAGTTTTGTTGCCTTCTTCTTAGAAGAGATTGAAAAGTTTATTTTCTTACATTTTCTTCATATAAAAACAACCATCTTATATTATTAATTTTAAGAATCAGCCCATTTGCAGTCCAGTGATAGGGGTTAAGTAGTTAATATTTATTCCAGTTTCTTGCTATCTATGGGAGATGGGAGTAATCATTTTAGAGATTCAGTCATATTTGCTAAGACAAAAACAAGTGTATTCCAGAAAAATATGAACTATCCAGTGAGATATCAAAGGATGTGAAAACAAGGAGGAAAAATAAAGGATGGAGGTGAAAACCTGGCCCTATTAAGTAAAGAGGAGTTTTGCCATAGAATTCAATTGCACCAGGATTTCACCCTGGGATTTTTGCTAATCATATTGAAGTTCCACTTAAATGTGTTTATACATTAAATTTACACTCACTTTAAGGTCCCTTTACACTGCCAGAGTGATGTGAGAATCAGGCCCAAAGTGTCCACTGACAACTGTTTTAAGCAATTCCAAAATATGTTGTTCTTAAAGATGATCTTCAGGAGGTAATGATTTGGCATTGTACATTTGTCATTTTTAAAAGACTTCTTAAAATCTTGAACTTGCTTTAGGACTGTTGCATGTTTGCTTTTAAAAATATATTTTATACTTTGCAGACCTAACATGAACAAAAATATACAAAAACATGTCAAGGTGATGAACATTTTTGCAAGAACACCTAAAATTTTATAGGTGCCTTTGTGTATGTGTGCATAATATGGTGTGATCACAAACAAAGTAAGCAAGGACTCTGTCATATTATAGCTCTCTCTTATGAAATAAGTGACCACACACATTCCCTACTTCAGTGATTCTTACTACTAAGAACAGGGAAAAAAATTAGTGGAATGCTTAAAAGCATCTGAGAGTTTATCTTGGCAGTATATAATGTGGAACACAAGTAGTTCTTTAAGTCAGGCATATTACACATTCTTTCTGGATTAGGGGATTCTGCCCTCAATAATGTGTTGTGTCATGTGGTCCTTAAGAGAGGCAGCATCCAACTGCACCAGTCCACAGATCTGAAGTTACAAGGGATCTATTCTTCACTATACTTTACTATATTTTAAGAGCATTGAAAAGGAGGATATCTGATTTTTTTCTTTATAAGGGATCTATTCTTTACTGTACTTTACATGGGGCTTATAAAGAGTCTCTTTTGAAGAAGATACGACACCTCTACATAAATACCTTTTGAACCCTCTCCTCATTAGTGTGACATACAACATCTAGCTTCTTATATTATAAAGGAAAAACAGAATAAATGACTTGACTGGAACAAAAAGGACATAGAAAAACATGAAGAAAATTGAATCCACTCTCATATCTCTTTGCTGTAAGGGCCCAGTTCTGCACCATTAAAGTGAGTGACAAATCACCTGAAAACTTCAGTGGTTCAAAATCAAGCCTCAGTTGAGAGTATCTCTTCCCTTTTTGGTTTACAAAGAGCATTTTTATTCAGATAACTGTAGATAAGGAGTTTGCAAACTAAAAGATGCATCAACATAAACAGATCAGCAAACCTAGACAGGGAAATTACATCAATTCTCTGATTACATGACATGGATTCTTTTTACTGGGCTAATAGTGAATTGTATCTACTTTTCCTTTCTTGACTGTGCCCCTCCATGTCTTTATTAATACATTAAACTCAACCCTTTTTACTTTTCTGCTCATGGTTTGGATTTTTTGTTTGTTTAATGTTATATAATTAAACTACATTGACCTTTAGCTCCTTTTCCTGTTTTGGATTGTTTTTGTTGGTACCTTGAGAAGAAAACCATCAGACCCCTTTGATGATCAATTTCTTTCTCCATGTGACCTTACACATTAAGTTTTCCTATTTTTCATTAGTCTGCCTTTTTCAAGTCTATTCTTCTTTCCTGATGCTTTCATCCTTCTCTGGTTTTATCACTCTGACATTTTGTGATAACTGATGCACAGCTGTTACCTACAGTTTCCAAGATCCCAACCAGTTAATTCTTGTCCATTTGTATCTGATCTAAAGTAGTGTCTACTTTCTCCTTCTATCCTTTCAAACAGAATGATGTTGATACCATTTGAGATGTACTGCAGGCCTTGAATTTTGCTATCCTACTTTTCAATTCAGATAGCTAGGTAAGTAAAGTCTCTCTTCCAACATCACTATCATTTCTTGGGGTGTGGGCACTGTTTATCTTTCTCCCTAGACATACTTTGTCCACCTCTTTTTTCTGATTTGTTGACTTTTATAGCTTACCCACTTAATGAATTCCCTTCCATTCCTTATCTTTATCTTAACTCAGATACTTGCTGTATTTTGACGATGCAACATGAGCCGTCTTTTCTTTCTCTGCCTCTGTGACACAAACTTTTCCTCTTGTAGATTTTCTAGCTCCTATCCCCCACACTTCTGTCCTCTAGTGCCTTGTCATGGCAGGACAGCTTGCGTGCTCTAACGATTCTCAGAGTCTCTGTCGGCTGGGGCTTTTTGCTCCTGGGGTTCAACCATGCCGGATTGGTCTGTGGGGGAGAGGCCAGACAAAACAAACATCCTGGTCCTCCAGGTTGGGGGTTAGGCACAGAGCTAACAACCCTGTCCCTTAAAAAAAAAATTGTTACGGAAACAGCAATGGAGAAATCGACCATTACTGTGTGTGATGGCCTTCAGGAGTCAATGACCTGTAAGACTGCCAGCTGTGAAAGCCAAAAAGAAGTCACTAGCATGAAGACTGAAGTGCTCAACACCAAGACAAAAAACAAACTTGTTTTTTGGAACATATGGACAATCTATGAACAGGGAAGCTAGCTCAGGTCACAGCAGAGATGAGATGCTACAGCTTACACATCCTGGGTGTCAGCAAGAGCAGATGGATGGGATCAGGAAGATTAAGAACAGCCTCGGGAGAAACTTTGCTGTTTTCTGGATGGGATGATGGACAACACCATGAGTGAGTTGCCATCCTTTTGAAGAAGGGAGTGGAGCATTCCCTGCTTGAATGAAAATCCTTCAACAGCAGACTTATGAGAGCCAGACTGAAAGGGAAACATAATATCACCCTGCCCTGGTCTACACTAGGACTTTAGGTCGAATTTAGCAGCGTTAAATCAATGTAAACCTGCACCCGTCCACACAATGAAGCCCTTTATTTCGACTTAAAGGGCTCTTAAAATCGATTTCCTTACTCCACCCCTGACAAGTGGATTAGCGCTTAAATCGACGTTGCCGGCTCGAATTTGGGGTACTGTGGACACAATTCGATGGTATTGGCCTCCGGGAGCTATCCCAGAGTGCTCCATTATGACCGCTCTGGACAGCACTCTCAACTCAGATGCACTGGCCAGGTAGACAGGAAAAGAACCGCGAACTTTTGAATCTCATTTCCTGTTTGGCCAGCGTGGAAAGCTGCAGGTGACCATGCAGAGCTCATCAGCACAGGTGACCATGATGGAGTCCCAGAATCGCAAACGAGCTCCAGCATGGTCCGAACGGGAGGTACGGGATCTGATCGCTGTTTGGGGAGAGGAATCCGTGCTATCAGAACTCCATTCCAGTTTTCGAAATGCCAAAACCTTTGTCAAAATCTCCCAGGGCATGAAGGACAGAGGCCATAACAGGGACCCGAAGCAGTGCTGCATGAAACTGAAGGAGCTGAGGCAAGCCTACCAGAAAACCAGAGAGGCGAACAGCCGCTCTGGGTCAGAGCCCCAAACATGCCGCTTCTATGATGAGCTGCATGCCATTTTAGGGGGTTCAGCCACCACTACCCCAGCCGTGTTGTTTGACTCCTTCAATGGAGATGGAGGCAATACGGAAGCAGGTTTTGGGGACGAAGAAGATGATGATGAGGAGGAGGTTGTAGATAGCTCACAGCAAGCAAGCGGAGAAACCGGTTTTCCTGACAGCCAGGAACTGTTTCTCACCCTAGACCTGGAGCCAGTACCCCCCGAACCCACCCAAGGCTGCCTCCTGGACCCAGCAGGCGGAGAAGGGACCTCTGGTGAGTGTACCTTTTAAAATACTATACATGGTTTAAAAGCAAGCATGTGAAAGGATTACTTTGCCCTGGCATTTGCGGTTCTCCTAGATGTAGTCCTAAAGCCTTTGCAAAAGGTTTCTGGGGAGGGCAGCCTTATTGCGTCCTTCATGGTAGGACACTTTACCACTCCAGGCCAGTAACACGTACTCGGGAATCATTGTAGAACAAAGCATTGCAGTGTATGTTTGCTGGCATTCAAACAACATCCGTTCTTTATCTCTCTGTGTTATCCTCAGGAGAGTGAGATATAATTCATGGTCACCTGGTTGAAATAGAGTGCTTTTCTTCAGGGGACACTCAGAGGAGCCCATTCCTGCTGGGCTGTTTGCCTGTGGCTAAACAGAAATGTTCCCCGCTGTTAGCCACAGGGAGGGGGGAAGGTTGAGGGGGTAGTCACGCGGTGGGAGGAGGCAAAATGCGACCTTGTAACGAAAGCACATGTGCTATGTATGTAACGTTAACAGCAAGGTTTACCCTGAAAGAGTGTAGCCACTGTTTTATAAAATGTGTCTTTTTAAATACCGCTGTCCCTTTTTTTTTCTCCACCAGCTGCATGTGTTTCAATGATCACAGGATCTTCTCCTTCCCAGAGGCTAGTGAAGCTTAGAAAGAAAAAAAAAACGCACTCGCGATGAAATGTTCTCCGAGCTCATGCTGTCCTCCCACACTGACAGAGCACAGACGAATGTGTGGAGGCAAATAATGTCAGAGTGCAGGAAAGCACAAAATGACCGGGAGGAGAGGTGGCGGGCTGAAGAGAGTAAGTGGCGGGCTGAAGACAGGGCTGAAGCTCAAATGTGGCGGCAGCGTGATGAGAGGAGGCAGGATTCAATGCTGAGGCTGCTGCAGGACCAAACCAGTATGCTCCAGTGTATGGTTGAGCTGCAGCAAAGGCAGCTGGAGCACAGACTGCCACTGCAGCCCCTCTGTAACCAACCGCCCTCCTCCCCAAGTTCCATAGCCTCCACACCCAGACGCCCAAGAACGCGGTGGGGGGGCCTCCGGCCAACCAGCCACTCCACCACAGAGAATTGCCCAAAAAAAAGAAGGCTGTCATTCAATAAATTTTAAAGTTGTAAACTTTTAAAGTGCTGTGCTTAAAGTGCTGTGTGGCATTTTCCTTCCCTCCTCCACCACCCCTCCTGGGCTACCTTAGTAGTCATCCCCCTATTTGTGTGATGAATGAATAAAGAATGCATGAATGTGAAGCAACAATGACTTTATTGCCTCTGCAAGCGGTGATTGAAGGGAGGAGGGGCGGGTGGTTAGCTTACAGGGAAGTAGAGTGAACCAAGGGGCGGGGGGTTTCATCAAGGAGAAACAAACAGAACTTTCACACCGTAGCCTGGCCAGTCATGAAACTGGTTTTCAAAGCTTCTCTGATGCGTACCGCGCCCTCCTGTGCTCTTCTAACCGCCCTGGTGTCTGGCTGCGCGTAACCAGCAGCCAGGGAATTTGCCTCAACCTCCCACCCTGCCATAAACGTCTCCCCCTTACTCTCACAGATATTGTGGAGCACACAGCAAGCAGTAATAACAGTGGGAATATTGGTTTCGCTGAGGTCTAAGCGAGTCAGTAAACTGCGCCAGCGCGCCTTTAAACGTCCAAATGCACATTCTACCACCATTCTGCACTTGCTCAGCCTGTAGTTGAACAGCTCCTGACTACTGTCCAGGCTGCCTGTGTACGGCTTCATGAGCCATGGCATTAAGGGGTAGGCTGGGTCCCCAAGGATACATATAGGCATTTCAACATCCCCAACAGTTATTTTCTGGTCTGGGAATAAAGTCCCTTCCTGCAGCTTTTGAAATAGACCAGAGTTCCTGAAGATGCGAGCATCATGCACCTTTCCCGGCCATCCCACGTTGATGTTGGTGAAACGTCCCTTGTGATCCACCAGAGCTTGCAGCACTATCGAAAAGTACCCCTTGCGGTTTATGTACTCGGCGGCTTGGTGCTCCGGTGCCAAGATAGGGATACGGGTTCATTCTATAGCCCCACCACAGTTAGGGAATCCCATTGCAGCAAAGCCATCCACTATGACCTGCACATTTCCCAGGGTCACTACCCTTGATATCAGCAGATCTTTGATTGCGTGGGCTACTTGCATCACAGCAGCCCCCACAGTAGATTTGCCCACTCCAAATTGATTCCCAACTGACCGGTAGCTGTCTGGCGTTGCAAGCTTCCACAGGGCTATCGCCACTCGCTTCTCAACTGTGAGAGCTGCTCTCATCTTGGTATTCATGCGCCTCAGGGCAGGGGAAAGCAAGTCACAAAGTTCCATGAAAGTGCCCTTACGCATGCGAAAGTTTCGCAGCCACTGGGAATCGTCCCAGACCTGCAACACTATGCGGTCCCACCAGTCTGTGCTTGTTTCCCGAGCCCAGAATCGGCATTCCACAGCATGAACCTGCCCCATTAGCACCATGATGCATGCATTGGCAGGGCCCATGCTTTCAGAGAAATCTGTGTCCATGTCCTGATCACTCACGTAACCGCGCTGACGTCGCCTCCTCGCCCGGTATCGCTTTGCCAGGTTCTGGTGCTGCATATACTGCTGGATAATGCGTGTGGTGTTTAATGTGCTCCTAATTGCCAAAGTGAGCTGAGCAGCCTCCATGCTTGCCTTGGTATGGCGTCCGCACAGAAAAAAGGCGCGGAACGATTGTCTGCCGTTGCTCTGACGGAGGGAGGGGCGACTGACAACACGGCTTACAGGGTTGGCTTCAGGGAGCTAAAATCAACAAAGGGGGTGTCTTTACATCAAGGAGTATTTCAGGCAGGACTTCACGGAGGGTTCCAATAAGAAATGGTGCACCTAAGTTATCGTTCTTATTGGAACAAGGAGGTTAGCCTGGCCTCTGATTGATACATGGCTAGATTTACCTCGCTGCACCTTCTCTGTGAGTGACTGCAGTGTGACCTAGAGGAATGAGTCCCCTAGACAAGGGAGGGGGGGAAGCAAATGAGTACAAAACAAATCTGGTCTATTTCTTGTTTTGACCCACTCCATCTATCTTTTACATCTTTGGCTGGCAGCAGACGGTGCAGAAGGACTGCATGCCATCCACATCTCATGGCTGCTCGGCAGAAGATGGTACAGTACGACTGCTAGCAGTCCGTATCGCCTGCCCGCTCACCATAAGACGGTTCAATAGGACTGACTGCAGGACTAAAGAGAATGACCTGGTCAAGTCACTCCAAATTTAGTCCCTGCGCCCATGTCTGCCCAGGCGCTCCCAGCCGACGTGGCCAGGAGCACCTCAGACATGACGATGACGGCTACCAGTACTGTACCGTCTGCTACCACAAGGCAAGGGGTTGCTGCTACTGTGTAGCAATGCCGTACCGCGTCTGCCAGCACCCAGGAGACATAGGGTGACGGTTACCTGAGCGGGCTCCATGCTTGCAGTGGTATGGCGTCTGCACAGGTAACTCAGGAAAAAAGGCGTGAAACGATTGTCTGCCCTTGCTTTCACGGAGGGAGGGAGGGAATGGGGGCCTGACGATATGTACCCAGAACCACCCGCGACAATGTTTTAGCCCCATCAGGCATTGGGATCTCAACCCAGAATTCCAATGGGCAGCGGAGACTGCGGGAACTGTGGGATAGCTACCCACAGTGCAATGCTCCGGAAGTCGACTCTAGCCTCGGTACTGTGGAAGCGCTCCGTCGAGTTAATGCACTTAATGCACTTAGAGCATTTTCTGTGGGGACACACACACTCGAATATATAAAACCGATTTCTAAAAAACCAACTTCTATAAATTCGACCTTATTCCGTAGTGTAGACATACCCCCTGATTCAGCGTTATGTCCCAACAAATGACAGTGATGAAGTAGTAAAGGACAAATGCTACCTTACAATAGAGGTGGAGTTAGAGAGAATATCACACCACGACCTAACTATCGCCATGGGAGACTTGAATGCCAAGGTCGGTAAGGACAACACAAACAACAACAGAGCAATGGGAAGACATGGGTGTGGCACCATGAATGAAAACAGAGAAAGGCTTGTTGATTACAGTAATATAAATGACCTAGTCATTGGCAGAACCCTATTTGAACATCATGAAATTCACAGGCTGACATCGTGTTCTCCAAATGGCAGATAAGAAACAGATTGTCCATATCATGATCAATGGCAAATGGCGACGCTCACTGACAGATGTGAAAGTGAGAAAGGGTGCAGATATTGGCAGCGACCACCACCTTGTGACAGCCTCCAACAAGCTAAAACTGAGACGTGTGGGTCCACCAAACAAGGGACATAGACATTATGATATTGACAAGCTAAAGTCCCTTGAAATACAGAAAGCCTTCATTCTGCAGTTAAAGAACAGATTTCAAGCACTTGCAGACCTTGATGAGGAGAGGAATGCAGATGAGGAGATCAAGAAGTAGGGCAAAGTAACAGCAATTTATAAACAGAGCAGTGAAACCTGTCTAGGGTACAGGCAGAAGAGAAGGAAGGCGTGGATTACACCCAGCACATGGAACGCCACAGAAACCAGACGAGCTCTGAAGAAAAAAAGTTTTAGACACAAAATCCCAGAAGTGAAAGGACAAATACCACAAGCAGTATAGCAAGGCCAGGTCAAACGCTTTGTGAGAGTGGACAAACAGCATTATATTGATAATCTGGCAACACAAGCAGAGGATGCAGCTGCTTGTGGTGAACAAGGAACCATCTACAAAATCTTATCAGTGGTAAACGGCAGACACCAACAAACACTCTCATAAGGAACAAACAAGGACACCTACTAACAACCGAAAAAGAACAAGAAATACGCTGGACAGAGCATTTAAAGAATTGCTGAACAGGGCGCCACCTAAGGAGGAAGCAAACATCCAGGAGGCAGAAGAAGATCTTGATATCAACACAGACACCCCAACTAAGAAAGAGATCATTCAAGCCATCAAATCCTTAAAAAATGGGAAAGCTCCTGGCAAGGATAACTTGAATACAGAATTGTTCAAGGTAAATCCTAAATTAGCAGCATCTATCCTGGCCCCTCTATTTATAGCAGTCTGGGAAAGGGAAAAAGTGCCAGATGAGTGGACCAATGAGGTTATAGTGAAGATACCAAAGAAAGGAACTCTCAGTGATTGTAATAACAGGCGTGGTATCACACTTTTATCTGTGCCAAGCAAAGTACTGTGTAAGATCATAGTCCAGCATATATCAGAGGCAGTTGATAGCATTCTCAGAAAAGAGCAAGCTGGTTTTCGGAAAGGGCATGGATGCACAGACCAGATCTTTGCTCTATGAAACATAATAGAACAGTGCTTAGAATGGCAATGGCAACTCTACATAAATTTCATAGACTTTGAGAAGGCTTTTGATAGCATTCACAGGACCAGCCTATGGCGCATTCTGTGGGCATTTGGAATTCCTTTCCTTATAATCAATGTAATCAAAAGCTTCTATTTCAACTTTACATGCAGTGTTGATCACAGTGAGCTCAGTTTGGAAGTCAAAACAGGAGTACGTCAGGGGTGTGTCATGTCTGCAGTCCTCTTCAACATTGCCATTGACTGGGTAATGCAGCGTACAACAGAAGACAAGCCAAGGGGCATTAAATGGACACTCTTCTCAACCCTTGAAGACCCGGACTTCACAGATGCTGCTGCTTTCCTATTACATACCCAACACCATATACAAGAAAAAACTACTCAACTCAACATATTCAGCCAGCAAATTGGACAGAAAATCAACTGCAATAAGACAGATATCATGACCTTTAATATTGCCTCACCATCACCAGTATGGATAGAAGATTATGTTCTCACCAATGTAGAAACATTCACATACTTGGGCAGCACCATAAGCCAGAACGATGGAACAAGCCAGGACATCCGGAACAAAATCAATAAAGCCAGGAACACGTTCAGGAGCTTAAATACAGTCTGGAAATCATCAAAATACAACACCAAAACCGAACTCAAGATTTATCAGAGCTGTGTACTTTCAACACTACTTTAAAGTGCAGAATGCTGGGGAATAAGAAAGTATGACATGTCCAAACTGTTTTCATTCCGTACAACCTGCCTCAGAAAAACCCTCCTTATCTTTTGGCCCAGAACAATCTCAAACCAAGATCTACTGACACGGTGCAGCCAAGAGGATCTGAGCACCATCATTGCCAGGAGGCGC